AAAAATGGCAGAAGAAGTGAGCAACAAACAGGTCATTCTTAAAAACTATGTCACAGGTTACCCTAAGGAATCCGACATGGAAATCAAGAATGTCACCATTAAACTCAAAGTTCCAGAAGGTTCTAATGATGTGGTTGTGAAGAATCTTTACTTGTCTTGTGACCCTTATATGCGTAGCCGCATGAGGAAAATTGAGGGTAGCTATGTTGAATCCTTCGCTCCTGGCTCCGTAAGTGTTTAGTAATTTGTTTTTCTTGGACTTAATATGTTGTCTTTTTGTTTGTTAGTCTTGATTGCTTTGGGATTGTTAATTTATTAGTGAAAAATGATTTATAATATTCTGGGTGAGAGGTGGGGACCCAGTTTCTACTGAATGTAATTTATGGAATAGTTTAGGTTTTCTTTTTCTACTTTAATTTATTACTCCACTAATCAAAATTGGTAAAACAATCCAAACCAAAAAAAACTGTTTTTTGTTGCTCTTGTTTGAAATATATTCGAATGTTCCTTAATACCTAGCGTATGTAATAATAAAAATGTACTCTTGTTGCTCTTGTTTGTATTGGGATTATTTAATTATATTTGAGATTTATAATTTATTAAAGGCTAATCGAATAGTTTTGACTGATGTTTGGAAAATGTCATCAGATATCAATGTTGGAAGCCATTTAGCTCAGTAAAATTATTTTAACTAAATCAAAAGAATAAAATACTATAGGTTGGAGTAAATAAGTTGTTAATGGTAGTGTTTTTCTATTTAGTCATTTGGGATTAGCAAAAAAAAAAAAGTGTTCATTTGGTTCTTCCTTCTCCTCCTCCGTTAACAAGCCAATAAACGTTCTTGTAATTGTTGAACAGACTGCAAAGTTTCAGTACATCTTAGTCTTAAAACAACATAGACAGGCTTTCTACTTATTTTTGTGAACTACATACCAATCTAACTGTCTGTTTACCCGAAAATCGGATAACGTTAGATTTGTGTATGGTTCTAAGGATATGCGATACAATTTGATATAAATCGTGTAGAGAAATGAAAATATGTGTATTCTTAACTATGAAAATGAAAATAGTGAGCAAAAAGAGTGTGTAAAACGAAGCACCAGGGATTCTCCTTTTTCTCCCCCGTGATCTTTTGTTGCCATCCTTCTTATAGTAGAGAGATCTTACTTTATATACAATAAAAAATACGTAGTGGAGAGCCCATGATATATTGTCTTTTCCTCGATTTCCGCCAAGATTCTCTCCCATAGTGCGGTTGCAACGGCCCTAATCTGCAAGCTCGATACTGGCTCGAGCTCAGTGTTGGATCGAGCCCTCAGCCTTGGTCCGAGCTCGATTCTGACTTGGGGTCTCGGTATTCAGGGTGAATGTTGGTTGGTCCATGCATCTTCGATAATCTCCGCTTTGCCTCGTAGTTCGATTTGGATATGGGCTAGATAATGATATCGAGCTTGTCATTTGATCGGTCTTAGAGCTCGAAGTTAACCGCCCTTACTTCGGATCTTGACCAAGCTTGTCATGCAGATATCTTTTGATCTAAACATTATTGTCTCGATCAGTCCGTACGACTGACTCGAATCGGTTTTGACCGTATATAGATAGTCCCCTCGTTTCTCGGAAAAGGATGTGGCGAGAAACGATATGATTTCCCAACAGCTCCATCAGATATATACTAACATTTTCATCGATCCCGACCATGACGTATGTGATAGTTGTCCCATCGGTTCGGTTTTACCGAGGCATTTAATGTGTCAGACGGTGGTCGGCCACCTCTGATATTGAACCGTCATTGCTTCAATTTATAAATAGCCTTTCCTTCCACCATTCATCATTTTATGTCTTCAGTCTTCAAAATTTTGCAAATTCCTTTTCTGAGTTTTCTGCTTGTAAACCTATGAGTTTTACTGCAAATTCTTCCTTAGAACTCCAAATACTTCTGTCCTTTGTTTGTGAAATTTTAAATGGCAAAAACGTTTAAAAATGTTCCGCAAAAAGAGATCGCTTCTTCATCTCGACCTACTGGTGGTGAGGATGTGGAAGAGCCCCGCCCTGAGGAATTCGTTCCGGTTGGGTGTTCGACCGTAGGCGATTTCAAAATTGAAAAGCCTTCTCCGATACCGGGTCGATGCGAGCCGATATCGAGGAATCAATGTTCAATCACCGAAAAGGTTCTCGATAAAGTCATACAAGAATGCAACTGGGATAATAAATTCGTAGTAATCACATCACCCGGTGAATCAATTACTACGTACGTCGAAGGGTTCTTAAGTATTTATACTTATCCTTTCACGTTGGGACCCTTAGACCCTGTCATCGTCGCCTTTTGTAAGAGGTACGATGTGACCCTCGGCCAAATCCACCCTTCCTATTAGAGGATAGTGATTTTTCTTCGATTTTTCTCGAGCAAGGTCGAGGGGCGTGTCTTCAACCTCGATCATCTTATGCGTCTTTACAGTCCCCAACTTTATCGAGGAGGGATGATCAAGCTTGCACGCCGAGCAACCAAAGCACCATTCTCGAGCATAGACGAGACCCGGGATCGGGGTTGGATGGGCCGTTTTGTTCGAATCATGACCTCGGATCTGATCCCTGCCGATAACTTGCCATTTCCCGAGAAATGGAATATGAGCCGTGAGTAAAAGTTTCTCTTTGCTCGTTTTGATTTTATGATTGCTTTCTATTTTGCTGATCCATTTTTCCTTATCACAGTCGTTGCTCGAATGCCGGAACCGATCCCGGATCTTAGACAATGGGTCGAAAGCCTAGTGTTGCAGAGACCGTACTTCTAGCGTGCTTGGGTCGAATTATCAAAGGGTCGATGGGAGGCCAGCAGTCATGGTAAATTTTTTTGTCGATTTGTCTCTTCATCGGTTTGTACGGTAAATCTCCCCCTTCCCTTTTGTAGGACTTGGGAAAGATGTAGTCATGAGGCCGTCGTCCGGTGGCGAAGAGGTTCCTGTCCCGAAGAAGGTGAAAGAAAGGAAGAGAAAAGACGTACCGGGCTTCTCGAACTCGGAAAAGAAGAAACCGGCTAAAAGATCTCGGAAGCCGAAGGGGGGCCCTAGTGTTGTGTCTTCGGAAGCGGTCCGCCATTTAAGGGACGAGCCCGAAGAAGGAGAGGAGAATTTAGCCTGCGTACGGGCTAATGTTGTGATTCAATAGTCTTCCAATTTGGTGGAAGCAGATCGGGGAACTTTGGCCATAATCCCAGAACAAGAAGCCAAGATTATCCCTTCTCAAGCTAAGATGATTGGAAGGGATACCGAGGGTGGATCTTCTCCAGCAGTAGAAGATATTTTAAGGGATGAGTTCAGGATAGTTGACATCGGCGGATCCCCTCAATTTTCAGATGCCATGATTCGAGAGGCCGTCATGTTGGAGGATCGGTCCTATGAGGGTTTTCAGGAGTCGGCCGATATCCACGATTTTCTGGAGGGGCTCGAGTCAGGTGCCTCGGAGGAGGTTACTGGTTTTGGTGGAATGCCGGTACCCAAAAAATCGTTGTGGTCGGGTTCCTCCGAGCCTTCTTCGATTCATAAACTGGTGGACTGATTTCCGGCCTCGAGTATCGATCCCGACCGAAGGCGGAAGATAGTGCTCTCCGTACCTGCGGATAGCCGAATTTTTTCTTCCCCTGTGGGGATTGCCAGTTACCTTCGGTCCTTGGTGACCGAAGAAGATCAATCAGTGATGAATGCGGTGGGGACCGCCTGTCTCTTCAATGAGGCCAACATGCTTTGAATCGGGTAACTCTGATGGCGTTTTCGCCGCTTCTTTTACACAGAGTTGCAAGTAATTTTAATGTTTCTCCTTTTGTTTGCAGGCTTCGGTGTTGCATCACGAGGCCTTTCTTCGAATCAGGAAGGAGCATGATGTCGAGGTTCGGAGCCTCACTGAGAAGAATGACTCGTACAGGCTTCTTAGTGAAAAACTTTGAGCAGATTTGATAGCGGCTCGGGAAGAGCATGAGGAGATGGCTGAGCAGGTATTCCGCATGTTCCATGATAGTGAATATGAAAAAGAGATAACCACTAACGATCCGGTTCTGCAGGTGCGGCAGAGGATCGAGCAGATTGGACGGCTTAACTCACAGGTAGATGCGCTGATGGCCGAGGCAGAAGAATATAAAAAGTGTATGGATAACCTTGCCTTGAAAAAGGAAACCGTCGAAGCTCAGTTGGAGCTGTCAGATGCCCAACTTCGATCTGTGAAAGAAAATGTTTTGGGGCTGATTGAAAAGATGAAAGAGCTTCAGCATCAGTTGGATTTGGCCAGTTTAGATAAAGCAGATTTGGCCAAAGAACTCGAAGTGGCCAGATCTGAAGTAGTCGAGGTCAACAAAAGAGCCGATGCCAAAGTGGCTCAGTTAAGGATCGATGTCGAGGTTAATCAAACCAAAGCCGCGAGCATGATCGAGCATGCAAAGTGGTAGGCTCGGAGAGAGGCTCTCGAGGAGGTTAGAGCTCAGGGCTTCGATGTTGGGGCCGAGATCAAAGTCGCCAGGGCGGAACAGAACAAAGCTCGGTGGTTGGCCTTTCCTGAGGAGGACTCCGATGACTCGGGGGAGTCTGAAGACGAGGATGATGCCGAGAATACGGCCTCCGATGAAGATTGAGTCATTTAGGGCCTTAGGTCGATCGTTGCGTTCTTTTGATACCGCTTTCGGCTTTTGTATAAAGAACTTCCCTTTGGAAGAGTAGCCGCCTCTTTACAAAAAAATTATAAATATAAATCTTTCTTCTTTTTGAAGAAAAATAGCCTTTCAAACTGAATAGATTGTTTGAATTTAAATCTCTGTTGCCTTCGGGCCTTGTGGGTAGTCCCCTTCGCTTTATCGAGCTCGAACATCCTTCAACTTAAATAGTCAAGTATTCGTTTTAACTCGAAGAAAATGAGTAGTTTTGCTCGAAATCGAAATAAAAGTAGCCTGCAGGCTTAGTAATAGAGTAAATGATTCGAACTCGATGCAATGCAGCCCGTAGGCGTAATGATCGAAGTAGCCCGTAGGCTTAGTGGTCGAGTGAGTGCTTGCTCGAACTTGAATTAAAAGTAGCTTATAGGCTTTAGTAGTCGAGTGAATGATTCGAACTCGAAATAATGTAGCCCGTAGGCGTAATGGTCGAGTGAGTGCTTGCTCGAACTCGAAAAAAAATAGCCCGTAGGCTTTAGTAGTCGAGTGAATGATTCGAACTCGAAATAATGTAGCCCGTAGGCGTAATGGCCAAGTGAGTGCTTGCTCGAACTTGAAATAAAAGTAGCCAGTAGGCTTTAGTAGTCGAGTGAATGATTCAAACTCGAAATAATGTAGCCCGTAGGCGTAATGGCCAAGTGAGTGCTTGCTCGAACTTGAAATAAAAGTAGCCAGTAGGCTTTAGTAGTCGAGTGAATGATTCGAACTCGAAATAATGTAGCCCGTAGGCGTAATGGTCGAGTGAGTGCTTGCTCGAACTCGAAATAAAAATAGCCCGTGGGCTCTGTAGTCGAGTGAATGATTCGAACTCGAAATAATGTAGCTCGTAGGCGTAATGGCCGAGTGAGTGCTTGCTCGAACTCGAAATAAAAGTAGCCCGTAGGCTTTAGTAATCTAGTGAATAATTCGAACTCGAAATAATGTAGCCCGTAGGCGTAATGATCGAGTGAGTGCTTGCTCAAACTCGAAATAAAAGTAGCCCGTAGGCTTTAGTAGTCGAGTGAATGATTCGAACTCGAAATAATGTAGCCCGTAGGCGTAATGGTCGAGTGAGTGCTTGCTCGAACTCGAAATAAAAGTAGCGCGTGGGCTTTGTAGTCGAGTGAATGATTCGAACTCGAAATAATGTAGCCCGTAGGCGTAATGGCCGAGTGAGCGCTTGCTCGAACTCGATCCTGTTTGCATAGTAAATTTTGAACATAGAATATCGGTAAAGAAGAGGGCTTTCTTTGCAAATCATTATACATGGGTTCATGTTTTGTGTCAGGGCTCGGGCCAACTACATAAGCATGGTTCGTTTTGACCATTTATCACTTACAACGTTTCCCGTTGAGACATTGTTTGTCATGAAATAACGAAGTAACTTCCTTTGCACCGAACTTGATAATCATCACAGATGCGTTCAATGATAAAACCCCCTAGTATACGAGGTTGATTTTAAAGAGGCTTTGGATACTCATCAGTGGTATCGTTTCCGCTATATGGCTGGTATCGATCTCTGGTCGACTTTTGCCTTTTCGTAACGAACCTAGAAATCAACTGGTCATCTTCGACTCTTATATTGATATCGATTGTGCACATCGGTCCAAGTAATGGCTGGGTACTCGATCATATTTTGCTTCAGCCGCCGTGAAGCCATCGAGCTCCGCTCGTTTAGACCTTGAGTAAAAGCTTGAACAGCCCAATCGTCTGTGACTGGTGGTAGATCCATTCGTTCCATTTGAAAACGAGCTACGAACTCCCTTAGCATCTCGTTATCCCTTTGTATTACCTTGAACAATTCCCATTTTCTAGTTTAGACCTTTATGGCTCCGGCATGTACTTTTACGAAGCAATCTGCAAGCATAGAAAAAGAATCAATAGAGTTAGATGGTAAATTATGATACCATACCATTGCCCCCTTTGACAGGGTTTCACCGAATGTTTTCAATAATACAGATTCGATCTCGTCATCTTCCAAATCATTGCCCTTGATGGCACACGTATAAGAAGTGATGTGCTCGTTGGGGTCGGTCGTTCCGTTATATTTGGGTATTTCGGGTATGCGGAATTTTTTGGGGATTGGTTTTGGGGCTGCACTCGAGGGAAAAGGCTTTTGAATGAATTTT